GAGGCTGAGGCAGGAGAATTGCTTGAACCCGGGAGGCAGAGGTTGCAGTGAGCCAAGATTGCATCACTGCACTCCAGCCTGGGTGATGGGATGAGACTTTTAAACACACACACACACACGCGGAAAAAAAACTATCAAGATATAAGGGGAGAACTCTAAATGGTTGATAAGCATTCAAAAAAATGCTCTACTGTCCTCAACATTGATGAAGAAAAATGCAAATTAAAGTAGAAACAAGATGCTGTTCATCAGTGGTTCTTCATGTGCAGTCCCTGGGCCAGCAGCATCAGCATCACCTGAGAACTTGTTAGAAATGCAGATTCTCAGATCCATCCTAAACCTGAATCACAGGCTTGTTTCAGCAAGCCCTCTAGGTGATTCTCATGGTCAAATATGAGAATCAACCAGGAGAAAGAAGGAACTGCATTCGGTGTTGCAGAGGGCTCTCTCACAGTATTGAGCAAGAGATATCAGATGTAAGACAGAATACTGTAGGTCCATTTATATGGAGATCAAAAGCAGGAGCTAATCTAGAATGATAGCGATCAGGGCAATTGTCACCTTTAGTGGAGAGGAGTAACTAGAAGTGGGGGTAAGGTTTTCAGGTGCTGGCAGTATTCTGTTTCTTGATTTGGGTGCTGGTTACACAGGTTTGTTCACTTAATGAAAATTCCTCAAGCTGTTTGCTTAGGATTTGCATACGTTATCCTGTATTTCAGTACAGCAGTGAAAGGTGAAACATGGGTTCTGTTTTTTTTTTTTAAACAGGTTTTTAGCCATTTAAAACATGGAAATTTAGTCTGGTGAAGGTGGAAAAGCATGCACATACTGATAGAAGAGAGTAAATTAGTACAGGTTTGGGTTTTTGTTTTTTTGAGACAGAGTCTCACTCTGTCACCCAGGCTGGAGCATAGTGGCGTGACCTCGGCTCACTGCAACCTCCGCCTCCCCAGTTCAAGCAATTCTCCTGCCTCAGCCTCCCTAGTAGCTGAGGTTACGGGCACACACCACACCCAGCTAATTTTTGTACTTTTAGGAGAGACCGGTTTTCACCATGTTAGCCAGGCTGGTCTCAAACTCCTGGCGTCAAGTGATCCGTCCCTCTCAGCCACCCAAAATGCTGGGATTATAGGCCTGAGCCACCATCTTTGGTCAGTAAATTAGTACAAGCTTTTGCCGAACAATTTGGTAGCACCTCTAAAGCTTAAAATATGTATTCTAGAAATTTTCCTCCTAGAAATCTGTCCTGGAATTCAGGTATACAGAGGCGTATGTTATAAAAATGTTTCCGGGCATTTTTGTACAAACATAAGACAACCTAAATTTCCATCAATAGGGGATTGGTAACATGAATTATGGAAAACTGAGTAACTGTTAAAATTGGCAGAGATCCGTGTGGAGTAGTGTGGACGGCTGTCCTCCACGGTATTATTTACTGAAAGAAGCAAGTTTTAGGTCCGGTTAACAGAGTGATCCATATTTATAAGGGAGAAAGAAAAAGGTGTGCAGGAGGTGGTTATAATGCAAGGGAAGAGGCTAAAAAGAGTAAATACAAAATTGGTTATGTTGGTTTTTCTTGAATTTTTATCACTGGTGGATAGGGATGGGGATTCTCATTTCTTTGTATATTTCTGTGTTCATTTTTCACTTGCATTTATCACTTTGAAATATTTTAAAAGTCTTAGTTTTGCCATCCAAAAAAAAAAGTCTTAGCCTAAAAAAATGTTTATCAGGGAAAACAAACAGTATTTTTGTAGTCTAAGCAATAAAGATTCGGGTTTATCTGAAACGCAAAGCAGATGATGAATAACATTTTTGAAGAGTGATTTTTATCAGCATTGGTTATCATGCGAGATAAAAGGTTTGCTTCTAGGTATATTTCAGTTACCTAGGAAATTCACTTGGGTAGAACAATGCTTTTCTTGACAGAGACATTCTTTTACTTTGTTTGCTGGTGAGGTCATGGGTCAGGTATTCCTGTTCTTTGCAAGGTGGCTCGGTTAACTATATTGTGCCTTTGTGTAAAAGATGACAACAGCCAGCCAACTGGACAGTGCAGTCCTGGACAGCAGGCTTCACTCGCGTTAATAATAAAAAACGTTTTTTCATTCAGAGCCCAGAGCTGTCAGTTGAGCCTGTTTAGCTGGACACAGACTTGTGATGGAAACTCTTAAGCCCTGGTGATCCCACAGAGACAACATCAACACATCTGTAGCGCCTCTCCACTCATTGTTATGTTTCCCATGGGAATCATCCACAAAGGGCTGCTCTGACCCTCAAGAAGCCTGAAATGTTTTCCATGCTGTCATGTCAGATTACTTTGATTTACCAGTCTTACTGATCCAACAGAATGTCAAACACATGTGTATAGATTACCTGTCAGGATCAATTCAGGCCCAGAAACCTCATTCATATGAGGCTTAGCACTTTCTGGAATTATATCCCGTTTTGTGTATCTTCACTTTCAATAAGGGTTGTTGTCAGCGATGTAACCACAAAAGCACATCTCCATGAAGCATCTTGTCTCTGGAATTCATATACTAATATCAATCAGATATAAGAATGTCGATGCTCAACTCTAAAGAGCAGAAACAGCAACATTTAGAGTCTTACCTGCTCCCCAGCACAGGCACCCAAACTATGCCAGGGAAGTGCTTCTCGCGGGAAGCAGTTTAACATGTCTCTTGGAAACCTGTCTGATGTCTTCAAGGTCACCACGGGAAGTCTTCCTTCTTAAAGAAGGGCTTAAGTCTTCTCTCTTCAACATCCACCTCTTCAAAACCCTGTTTGAAGGTCTCCGACTACCTCAAACTGCGTAGGTTGAAAATTCAACTCACAACAGCACTCCCTTAACCTGTTCCTCTTCCATCGTCCCAACAGAACAAGTCAAACCCTAATCTACTTCAGAAAACTCTAGAGAGCTGGGGATCATTCCATTTTATGTTCTCCCTTTTCCTCCTCTGACCCAATATCTAATCCATTAAAGTCCCATCTGCTGAAATTTGTCTCAAATTCATTCACATCTCAATATTCACTGCCACCATATTGGTCTTGAAGACTCATATTCTCCCGCTTGGATTATTGCACGGTCTGAACTTGTCTCCCACACTCTCCCCCTTACCCCTCCACATGTCCATTCTCTACCCACAGCCAGAGTGCCCTTATTAAAAAAAAAACCTAGCCTAATCTTAACATTCTCTTGCTTAAAACCCTCCCACTGCCCTTCAGATAAAGCACAAAATCCCTAGACCTCCTAGGCTCATATCATCTGACCTTCCCCAACTCTCTTAACATTTTACACAACATCCTACCTTACTAGACGTTCTTACAGGTTCTAGAAGGTAGCAGAGCCCTTCCCACCATCAGACCTCTGGCCACGCTGTGTTCTCTGCCTACAGCGTTGGCTTCCCGCCTCTGTCTTGCCAGTGCTTTCACTCAGCCTTAAGGTTATTCTTCAGCCTGGATTTCCCTGACGCTTCCCACGCCTGCCAAGAAGGTTATTCCCCCATCACAGACCCTTATCACACCCTCTACCTTCTTCATAACATTTGCAACCGTTGTAATTGCTCAGATATTTCTCCCCACTAGACTTTAGTTCTGTACAAGCAGGATCTGTTCAATTTGAATACCACTGTCCTTGCGGCCCGAGAGCAGGAAGCCTGGCATATTGTAGGCGCTCCTGTGTGAAACAAATGAAATCTGTCTTCCGAGCCTGGTGATTAGAGTATTTTGTTTCATATACCACAAAGAAAGCGAAAACAGAAATGAAATTCTTTGTCCTGAGTCACACGGCGAGCCAGGACTTGCAGGGCGAGAGCCCACCCTGGACTCCTGTTGCTGTGTCCTGGGGATGTGGTTCACTTCTGAACTTTTTCGTGACTTAGGAATAAAGTCCACGTGGAAGGTGCTAGAATGTGAGTGCATACCTTGTTCCAGCACTCAACACACCTACAGTTTAGGTCAGTTTGTTTTTCCTTGATGAAGTCTTTCATGAGTCCATGAGTGGCATTAATTTGGCTTTGGGGATGGTCGTGCTCGTCAGCAGTGGGGAAGGGTTGGGTGACTATTGCTGGGATAAATGCATGCTTGTAAAATGCTGAGTGTCTCCATCTGCACTGGGCCGTCGCTCATTCTCTCTTCCGAAAGCTCTCTCAGACCGTGTGTCACTGGCCATCTGTGAGAACAGCAGGGAATGCCCGGAGGTTCATCCCCTGAGAGCAGCTCAGCTCCAGGGACCACCTCTAAGTGCACCTGCAGCCTTGTTTCCTTGACAAGTATCAGCCTGGGAGCAAATTCAAGCCATGGATGTTGTTTTTCGCCAAGTGGTGTTTTAAAACTCCTGATTAGTGCTAATATTTAAAACCAAGATTATTATGCATAAGCTTGAGTTTCTGTATTCTCCTGGAGGGAGAAGAAAAGACCTGGCAAAACCAGCCCACAACAATCAGCTAGAGCTGAGTTTTGTTTTTTTTTTTTTTTTTGAGGCGGAGTTTCGCTCTTGTTACCTAGGCTGGAGTGCAATGGCGCGATCTCGGCTCACCGCAACCTCCGCCTCCTGGGTTCAAGCAATTCTCCTGCCTCAGCCTCCTGAGTAGCTGGGACTACAGGCACGCACCACCATGCCCAGCTAATTTTTTGTAGTTTTAGTAGAGACGGGGTTTCACCATGTTGACCAGGATGGTCTCGATCTGTTGACCTCGTGATCCACCCGCCTCGGCCTCCCAAAGTGCTGGGATTACAGGCTTGAGCCACCGTGCCCGGCCCTAGAGCTGAGTTTTAAGAGTACCCCCTAAAACAAGGTGTTATCGGTCCCTGCCTGGCCTGCCATGGTTACCTTCCTGGCATTTGCAGGCACATGAGTTTGCAAACCCTGTATGTTTAAGTCATGGCAGGGGAAGGTGGGGGTACATGCATGAACGTTGTAATTGACATTCTGTATAATTATTTTTTTTCTTTATCTTCTTTCCTCTCTTCTCTCCACTGCTTCTACCACTTCACAGGTTCTGGGGCTGCTGGTATGGACACTTATCGCCGGAACTGAGTACTTCCGGGTCCCAGCATTTGGCTGGGTCATGTTTGTGGCTGTATTTTACTGGGTCCTCACCGTCTTCTTCCTCATCATCTACATAACAATGACCTACACCAGGATTCCTCAGGTGCCCTGGACAACAGTGGTAAGGAAGCCGTGGGTGGTGGTCTTGTCCAGTGCCCACTAGGTAGGATGTCTAGAGTCCTCCTGGAGTAGTCAATTCAAGACTGTCTCTCTGCCCAAAAAAGGTGGCCCATACCGTGCAGAACCCAACACAGCAGTTAGCCTCAGCATCATCTAATTGCCTTTCAAGTGGCTTACACCTGGGTGTGAAACTGGGCATGTTAGAAGGTCCAGAAATTTGTTTTAGGCAAAATTACAAACCAAGTCTCAGAAGACTGAATCAAGAAAAGCCAGGTTCTCTCCTGTAGACTCTCGTTATTTCCCTGTGAACAGTGTCACCTGGAAATAAATGTCAGGGTCCCATCCTCTGCAGATTGTGCTTCCTGCAAACCTCTCCTGGGGCTGTGGACTTAACCCTTTGTACCTCACAGCCCTTTGATGTCGGAGTACATAGTGTACAGAGTTAGAATGCAAATGAAAACTGCTATTAGAACAATAGGTGTTCTTATATATTTGAAAGAGAGAATAGTCAGGGATGACTGGGTTCTCCTTCTGGCTCTGGCACCATCCTGGATGCAGGAAGGTGAACCTACGGTCCAGGAGAAATAGATAAGAACGTGAGTAGATACGAAACCCTGTGTCCTAAGTGTAAGGGAGGCTGCCACCTCAGCTTAGGATGGCTGGGAACTCTTCAGAGGGGAAGTGACATTTAGCTTCTCCCTGGAGATCAAACACACACATCCTAAGTGAACTCACAGGAATAGAAGGCGGGTTCCCCTTGCCTTAGGGCATTGACAGTCTTGTTGGGAAATTCAAAGTAGGTATATGATTTACAAACAAAATCCCAGTGACACCACGTGTTTATGTAGAAAGCAGAGCTTTTCAGTGATACTATTGTCTGTTTTCAACCAAGATGTGAGAAAAAAATATTTAGTTCCAAAAAACTGACTTATGGACTAAATTTGAAATCTAGTCTATTTGTGGTTGTGACGTAAGTTGGCGTACTTTCAGACGGCACTGTCATTGTCCAACCTGCACCTGGCTTCTTTCTGTGTTGCCTTCAGAGCTAAGTCAAGTCCCCCAAGAAAACAAGTCTCAGTTCCTTTCACAGAGCAGACTGACTGACTCCTAACCATTTCCCCAAATCCAAAAGTAAGGACTCTTTATTAAGGTTTTCAAGAAAGTGTGGCAAGTTTGAAAAGTAATTCCAAATATGGTGCTTATCACTGTCTAGGTAGCGGAAGCAGCCTTGTTCGAATTGGTATTTTCCTGCCTCAGCTGGGCATCAGGAGGGAAAGACTCGTTTAGATGCTGGATTCAAAAAAAAAAAATCAGCACCTTGAGGTAATAGTAACTATAGGAACACAGGATGAGGGAATAATCAAAGTAAGTTGGAATTTAAGGAATGCCATTTTGGAGAAAGTTGTGTCCTAGGGTGGGTCTTGAAAAACGTGCCTGTGAACTTGGACGAAGAGGAACTTGGACAGCGTAGTAGGGGAGCAAATTGTTGGGATGGAAGAATGGACAGTAGCCTTATTTCCCTGTTGCCTGAGTCCCAATTTCTAGTTATGTTATCTAGATCAGCAATTGGCATGCTCTCTCTGTAAGGGACCAGATAGTAAGTATTGTAATATTCTTGAGCTATACTTCTCTGATCCAGCCACTCAACTCTGCCTGCAGCATTGAGAGCAGCCATAGGCAATGTGTAAATGAATGAGCATGGCTGTGTTCCAGTAAAACTTTATTTACAAAAACTGGTAGTGGCTGGACACAGTGGCTGTCGTCTATAATCTTAGTGCTTTGTTGGGAGTCCAAGATGGGTGGATCACCTGAAGTCAGGGGTTCAAGACCAGCCTGGCCAACATGGTGAAATCCTGTCTGTACTAAAAATACAAAAATTAGCCTGGCATGGTGGCACTTGCCTGTAATTCCAGCTACTTGGGAGGTTGAGGCAGGAGAATCACTTGAACCTGGGAGGCAGAGGTTGTAATGTGCTGAGACTGAGCCACTGTTCCCCAGCCTGGGCAACAGAGTGAGACTCTGTCTCAAAAAA